CATCGCGCACACTGTGCCGGCAAAATATGGGGCTTCAAGTAGCACTAGCAGGAAGCATTTTGCTACTCGTGGCTGTGTTCGAGGTACGTGACATCACAGTCGACGTATTGGGTCGTTAGCGTGTTGATAAAACCTTTTCATCGGCAGCTATGGCGCCTTTTGGTATGCTCCATCTTCACGCTGATCGTGAAAGGTACAAGGGCAGCTTAGTCTTAGTCAGCGAAACTACGTAGCTAATTCAGTTTTTTTTTCATTATTTGCCTAGCCGGCTTGCTGAGGAACATCGCAGTCGACCCGCACACGAAAATTTCGGTGATGACAGCGACGGTCAAGATCTCGCTCTGGCCACAGTTGTGGAACTTCCTACGCGCACCTAAAGAAGAGAAACTCCTTGTAGTGCTGTTATCTTCTATTCACTTGCTGGTGGTCAAATCTACTGCCGACCTAGCAACGACCCCGCAGAGACGAGAAGTCTCAGCGTCGCCTCCATTTTGGCAGACGCTGGAAACATCAATAGGCCTCAACGACATTCAACACCCGATATGGAATGGAGTTCGTGTGTGGTTTCCACGACTGATGTTTCTTTTCCGCAGTGTACACGCTATCGAGCTGGGTGTGAGCTCTATGTCGGTGGATATTGTCCAGAAAGACGAAGATGTAGTGACCCCAATGCTTAACATAAAGGTAAAGCGGACACCAATCACATAGCTCGACAGATTCCGAGGCACTAATGTTGTCGTTTCTGCTGTAGAATGGAAGTGTGTTTGTGAACGCCGCGTTTGATACCAAGTCCAATGAGTTGTCATGCACAGTGGCATTATCTCGAACGGAGTCGGTGCAAGTAATTATTCCAGGGCTAAACGCGACTACGACGCTTGGCCGCACTGAAGTGAACATACGAGTACCGATCTATCACAACCACGAACAACTGCGCGCTCTGATCCCGTCAGCATATTCGGTGATTATTGACGTGATTCAAGTAAATCTTGATCTCGAGCATACTATTAAAGCAGCACTATGCCCAAAAGAACAGCAGTGCTATGGAGAACCCAGTGAGGCATCGTATTCGACGGCTGATTCGAATAGTATTGATGGCCTCTGCTTGCGTCAGGTACTAACGCTGCTGCGGCTAGCTGAGATCATACCGGATAACTTTCGATGTGAAATTCGGAAGGTGGGAGTGAATGCCGTCGACAAGGTTTCGAAACGAAGCCCTGGGTCTTTATGCGCACTGGAGTTGAATGGGTTAAGCCTTGCGTTGTCTGATGATTCTACCAGTAATCAAGAGCTCGGGACAATCAACAAAGTCATTTCAGACCACCCTGTAGTTATCAGGAGAGCAGATCTAGCGCTCAGACTGCTTGCTGTTCGCCTAAATGAAGCAGACAATGT